TTATTTGATCCCAACAAACCTAATACATTGCCATGGTGAATCCATCCGGATCTGGTGCCTTTTTTCTACTACAATCAAAAAAAGCTCTCCTCACGTTCTCCATCTGAACAGGCCTTTCCATCCACTCTGCAACCCTTTCATCTATAAGACTCCATTCAGGACCCCTAAACTTAAATCTAGCACCCTATTGATCTGATCCGAATAAAGCTTCTCAAAAAACCTAATAATTTCTCTCTCAATACTACCATCATCCTCAATTATCGACCCATCGTCAGGCTCCATTCCTCATTCTGTTTCCATTCGCCCCCTTATGAAAAAATTTAGTATTATTATCTCTTTCTTTTACCCACTAAGCTCTCTCCTCTCTTTTTAACGCTTCTTCGAAACCCCCTCCTTCAACCTTATTCGCCTCATCAATCCTATCAAAAATAATTCTTTTTGCTTCTCGAATGTCCCAACATACCTCTTTATTCCACTCTCTCAATCTATGTTTTATTATCTCAAGTTTGTTCATAAATCTAAATTCTTGTCACCCCAGTACCCTTTCCTCTCCCCACCATTATCTTATTCTTTCCTTCAACTCTATATGTTCCACCCACATATTCTCATACCTAAACAATCAAGGACCCCATTTAAACTACAATGCCTTCTGTCTCATCCCACGAAAACAATCTTCCCACCCTATAGACTACAAAAATCTATCCAACTTTTTACACAGCTTAACTGTCCTACCATTAGATCATGTAAACACTCCATTTGCCAAAGGGGGACCTAACAAAAGAAGTAAACATGAAGTGTTGCAAAAGACTAGGATAGGAAGCAAAACGGAATGTACCGGATTTTTAGCACATACAACCGTCAAACCAGAGACCAAAGCAGGGCTCGACAAAACATAAAGTATCATAGGACGTTGTCCTTCCTTGAAAATGGAACTTTCATGCTGGAGCAAGAAGTAGCATCCCTAAGCTTGGTTTCCCTAATAAAAGAATCAAAATCTTTCAATACTTTTTGTTGTTCTCCCCTCCATTCATCCTCTCCCTTGGACACCTTGTAACATTAAAATATCCCCCTATACACCATCTATGACCACACACCCTATATAGCCCTACTAATTTTTCCCACAATGAGACCCTAATCCTAGGCTTGTTAGGCCCATAAATCCCAGTAAACCACCAGCCATATCCCTCTCTACTTAACTCTAATTGAAACAGTAAATTCCCACTCAAGAGTTTCTTCCATGCTTATAGATCTCTTGTCCCGAATGATGACAATACCACGTGTACTCCTACAAAAAATAGAAAAACCCAATTTTAGAACCTAGACCACAAACACTACTAAAGACTCTTATCAATGACCTTCAACTTTGTTTCTTTTAAAGTAACTATATCTGTCCCAATTCTTCCCAAAAACTCCTCTATTGAAAACCTTTTCGCACACGACCTAATCCTCTGGCATTCCAACTTAACAATCTTTATAAGAAACTATATAGATCCCTCCCCCACCTTTCTTACAACTATCACCCTCATAATTTATCCCTAACTCTAAATTTTTTAACTCTCCCACTCCCTTTCTCTTCCTCTCATTTCTGCATTCATTTTTTTGCTTCCCTTGTTTTTTTGATGGAACTAGAGACAAATCCATTTTATATAAAAAATTCTTTAACACAACCCATTTTTCCTCGTCCGACAAAACACATTCATTATATTATCCCTACATCTGTCATCTATTCCCTCTCTATTCCTTTCACCCTTAAAGCTCACTATTTCCCCCAGTTGTCACGGCATCAGAGTTCACCCTCAAAGCTCAGTACATTATTTTTTTTGCTCCCCCCCCCCTTTTTTGATGGAACTAGAGACAAATCCATTTTATATAAAAAATTCTTTAAAACAACCCATTTTCCTCTATTCCCTCTGTACTCCTTTCACCCTCAAAGCTCACTATAGCTCTAGTTGTCAGTACATTAGAGTTCATTGGACCAACATTAATTATGGGATATCTATCATCAAATTTGAATATATTGGATCACAGGTAGTAATAAGGGGAACACCTAATAAACTAGGTTCACCCAGACACCACAAATGTCTATTCTCCCCATGGACCTGAATTAGCTATATCACAGTTTGTGGAAACCAATTCTTTCCTATACCCATACTTCACTGAAGATAACATCGTCATTTTCTCATTCAATTCCATGTCATTCCACTAACACAATCAGACCCAGAACCAATACGGATATTGACACTCCCACCCTTGAAAAATTAAAATCACCAGAATGAACACCGATTTGACACGCCTGTCCCCAGAAAAAAAAAAAGAACATCCCTAGGAGAAACCATCGGTGGGATTTTTTGGGAAATATTACCTTCTAAAGTACAAGGAAAGGCATTGCAAATTACCTTAGATTCGTGATGGAGTATCATATTACCTTCTTCTTGAACAGATATCAACTTATCATCGGTAAACATTCTCACAATATCACCATATACCTCATCAGTCTGTATCTTTCTCTCGTTATCAATATCACAGCAATATAATGAATCCTCCAAACTCTTCTCCAACTCAGCATTGTCATACCACTCTCTCGCAGCAAGCATAGCATTGCTGCAATCTTTGTAACCAAACCAAGACTTATGTTCCAATCATTTTAGGTCGGCTATATGAGTCCGTCTTCGTCATTCATTTCGATCATGTGCTATACAGTCATTTAAGTTAAATATTTTTTTATTATTTTTTTCAATGTTAATTTAGGTTTACCCTTACTTTTAGTACTATTAAGAGAAATTCTATAACTTTTTCGAACTAGTGCCTGAGCTACTCCTACCATTTATCTAATAGTACTATTTCGTATTCTATGCTTTCTAGTTTTTTCACACATCTAACATAACATTTTCATTTTCGCTACTCATTTTGTCACTATGTTGTTTCCCAGTAACCCAATATTTTGTCCCATACAACATTGCTATCCTTATAGTTGTTCGATAAAACTTATCTTTCAATTTTATTGGTATCTTTCTATCACCTAATATGCCTGAGGTTTTTCTCCACTTAAGCCAACTGACGTTAATTCTATGAGTTACATCATCTCCAATCTCTTCATCATTTTTAATGATCAATCCTAGAATATTTAAATCGTTTATTCATTGGTATTTTTTGATTTTCAATCTTAACTTTTTCACTATGTCTACTTCTTCTATTATTAAAATTGCATTGCATATATTCAGTTTTACTCATACTTATTTTAAACCCTTTAGACTCGAATATCTCTATCCAAATTTTTAGCTTATTGTTAATCCCCCTTCCAGTTTTATCTACTAATACAATATTATCTGTAAATACTATATGTCGTGGGACATCATCTTGAATGTGCCTAGTGAGGTAGGTATGGACTTAGGGCCAATCCTTGGTGTAATCCCACCGTGATTGGAAACTCTTTACTTTCTCTTACGGAAGATCTAATTGTAGTTATAACTCCGTCATACATATCCTTTATCTCCTCTATATCTATTCATTACTCTTTTTCTCTCAAGCACCCTACATATTACATTTCTAGACACTTTATCATACCCCTTTTCTAAATCTATAAATACCATATGGAGATTTTTCTTCTTCTCTCTATATTTTTCTATGAGTGTCCTCAATAAATATATAGCTTCTGTAATTGATCTATTAGGCATAAACCCAAACTGATTTTCGGAGACTGTATTCTCAACTCTTAGGCGACGTTCAATGACCATTTTTCATAGTTTCATTGTATGACTTATCAATTTTATCCCTCTATATTTATTACAATTTTGAATATCTCTTTTATTTTTATAGATAGGTACTAAAATACTCTTTCTCCATTCATTAGGCATTTTTTTAGTACCAATAATTCTATTGAATAATTTCGTTAGCCACAACACCCCATCATTCCCTAAGCACTTCCAAACTTCAATTGGAATCTCATCCGGTCCTAAAGCCTTGCCTAATTTCATTTTCTTCAATGCAAATTATACCTCCGAATTCTTTATCTTACAAAAGAATGTTTCATGAATCCTACCATTTTCTATCTCTTCTAAGTTTCCTAAGTGATTTTTATTTAATAGTTTCTTAAAATAGCCTTTCGCCTTTGAGTCTTCGCCATTGATGCACTTAACTTGGTTAAATTCTTTTGTTTTCCTTTCTCTAATTTTAGCTAGTTTATAAATGTCTCTTTCTCCCTATTTACTATCTAGTTTTTTTGTACAATCCATCGTAAGTTTTGACGTAGCATATCGAACTATCTTTTTTACTTCCTTATTTGCTAATTTATATCTTTAGAAGTTCTTGCAGCAAACTTCATCTTCTGAAATCAAATGTATGTGTCTCTGTCCATCCATAATGTTGAAACAGACCACAAAATCTTGCCTCTAGCTTTGCCAACCATCGCAGATCTCCTCTCCCACTATAGCCCCTTTTTCACTACTTCCTTTGCCCATTGTCAACTCTGCCTTGGCTAAGGAGATCCTATCAGAAGCTCTAATCCCCCCTTTGCTCGACGATTAGCTTCAACAACCTTAACCATCAGTTTTCGACTTTGAGGAGAGCCTTGGTTTCGTCTATGGAGAGACCCCCTTTGCCTGTGTGAGAAAGCCCTATCATTCGAGCTCTCTCCAACAAACAAATGTTTGTGGACCAGGCCTCTACAATTCTGTAAAACCCTCTTAAATTAAAACAGCCCACCTTACCAAGCCCATTAGTAAAAACATTTGTTTCCAGCCCATTTGTTTCTTTATCTCAGCCCACCTTTCTTCCTTAACAAAACCCTTCGTGAACCATCTCCTCTGCCTTATCCTTAATTAACTCAAATTTTGAATTCAAATTACGGTCCATATTTGAATTATCCTTATCAAATATTTTGTGTTGGAAATCAGCAAGATTAATGGCACTGATCAAGTCATTAGAATTTTTTTCAATCAAACCAAATTTTTGCATTTATTCTGGCCTTGTCTTTCTCCTGTTGACATGTAATCCCCCTTTGTTTGCAGCTCATTTTTGGCCGATTGATTTTCCAATATGCTAGTTTCAACAACTCTCATCTTCAACCTTTCACCCAATGCACAAAATCTCCGTACTACCTTCGCCTTGTAGTAATCCTTTCTCCTTTCAACTGAACATTCTTGTTTTCTTCAACATTCGTAGAAAAAAAATGTCTTTGTCTACTTGGAAAGGCTGTAGATGAATCTTTATTTTTAATGCCTGTACTAAGCATGCCTGGGAGTACACAAACGAACTTGCTTTAACACATACCACAACACACCTCCATTTAACCTTTTCTTTAAGCGTATTTTCATCCCCGTTAACATTTGCAGGAGTATTTTCCTTATGCATCTCAGCCCATGCCCCATTTCCTTGCTCTGTGACTCTACATTTTGATACCACCATCAGACTTTGATTTTCTTCTTCTTGTATCATAGTATTCCTTCCACTTGAACGAGCATCCTCCATTAATCCTCTAAACCCTTTCCATCCAATGCCTTGGGAGCCTTGGGGAATAATCAAACCCTTCCTTTTACCATTATTCATCATTTGTGTAATCCTGGCAAACTCCCCAAACCTGCTATTTTCCAATTCCATCCACATACAATATTCATCCCTCCTGAACTCTCTAAAGAAAATATCTTGTTGATTCCTGGATATAGCTTTAGAAAACATCTCCTTCAACCATCTCACACAACTTCTATTCACTAAGCATGAGAAATATCCAAACTAATTCCATTCTGTTATGCGAATAAGTTCACCATGCAAACCTTCAAACTTGACTTTAAAATGCTTATGATCAATCGTAATCTCCATCCTCTTTCTTTCTTGATTCTCACAATTTCAACAATGTTGGTTGTGGATTATAAAGGTTTTGGAAAGGGAAGTAAAGGAAGTACTATTTGGGGATGTGCTTTCTATGCAATAATTTGAGTGATTTGGTTGGGGAGAAATTCAAGAATCTTTGAAGATAAGTATGAAGAGTTTGATGGGGTTTGGAACCGAATTCACTCTTTTGCAACTCTTTTTTGTGCTTTGGTTTCAAAGGAATTTGCAAATATTTCGCCTTTTGAAATCTTGGTAAACTGGAAGGTGGCTTGTGATTGATTAGCTTGTTTTCTTGGTTTGGTTTTTTTTTTTTACCTTTTTATGTACTACTTTTCGATGGTTTGTATTTAGGTTGGACTACTTACCCATCTCAGCTCTTCATTTTTTTACTTTTAATAAAATGGTGTTTTCTATAAAAATAAAGAGGAGGGGATTTTACATTTTTGCTTTGCTGATGATATAACAAAACTTCTCAAGATTTTCCATAACACAATCAATATTGCTCCAAGCCCCCACCAGCTCTAGTTGCAAACACAACAGTCCAACCCCTCAGCCAAACCACGTCAGCCTACTGCCTCCCCCTTCCTGGGGGGTGGGCAACATATGAAACATAGCCTACCCCATGCAACCTTTACCCTCAAATTCACCATGTGCATGAATGTATCGGAACTTACCCTCAACGAACAGATGGGAGCAACATTGCTATAATGTCGTAGCAACGCACGTCACACACAGTAGGGTTCCATTCTGGTTTGTCTCTCTTCCTTGCTATATAATATACCATGCATGAATAGTCAGAAAGGTTGGAGATATGTGAATATGGAGAGAGAGAGACGTGAATGAGTGGAAAGTTGAACAGTCGGAAACCTGGAGGTTACATGAGAAGTGGGAGTTATCAGTTAGTTTAAATATAGACTTGTCCTTATCTTGAGAAAAAAACGATTAAATGACGTAAAAAAGAGTGGAAGGACCAATCATAAGAAGCCAAGTAATCATTTTCATGGCTAAAAAACTCAAAAATTTGGAATGAAAGATTAGAGACTTCTCAACACTACTACATTTAAATAGAATATAGAGATTCAGTTAATAGAAATCATGTTACTTACCGGGAAAAATATACTACATATCATTTTTACTTGCCAAAAGTTTACTTGTTATGTTTTGAAGTAAAATGTACTGTTTTCTTTTGCAGAACCATGCTGGGTATGTGGCAAAATATAGTTGCTAAAAGGGCTGCTCTTACTCCAAGCCAAACCAAGGACTTGGTGAAGAGCATGGTGGAAATCCCAGTGAGGAGAAAATTTTCTGTGTGAGCAATTGTTGTCGCCCTCGCACTCTTTGGACATGGATATGTTGGGGCACAACTCCTGCGATAATTTTTGTCTGGGCATTCTTCCCTTGCTTCTAAGGAGAGAATTTTGAATGGACTCGACTGGCTCAAAACTTGAAACAAGGATTCTGTGGAGCTTGCGTTACGTAAGGAAGTTGAAAAGCAAGTCAATGCTTGCACATTAACAGCTTTAGGTAAACTCAAAACTGAGATAAACACACTGAGAAGTGTGCTGATGGACAAGTCAACAGATCTGCTAGATGTGTACGAGGGAATGGCGAAACTTAGGAAGCAAATTCTGGATATGGAAGCTGAAGAGGATAAAAGCTGAAAATATCTTTGTTGTTTCTTTTGAACTACTATAATTTCAGTATAATGCAAACATGCTTTGGAAAATTCTCTCTTTTTGATATGTACTTTTGCTTAACTTGACTGCTTAGGAAAATTCTCTCTTTTTGATATGTACTTACTTATGACTGCTTAGGAAAATTCTCTTCATTCGATATGTACGTACTTATGACTGCTTATGTAATATTCTCTCTCCCCCTTTTTTGCTAAATTCTGTGTGTATTCATGAAGATCAGTTACAAAAATATTATAATTTGGGGTAACATTTTTTGGATGATCTAATGTGAATATGCCCAATTTGGGGTTGTAAGATACAAGAGCGTGGAATGCATAGGACTGCTTTGATCGTGGTAATTGTGTTTCTATACAACAAGAACTACATTATTTATTAAACTCCTACCGTAGAGGTGGGTCTGGTGACAAACCACTTCGACACAGAGACATGGGGAGCCAGACATCTGTTTGTCTCCAACCGCTCTCTAACGCTGTCAATGTAATGAGAAGTTCAAGGGGGATAAATCAGAAAATAATGTTGGAATTAATCAAAAGCATTACAAAACATGTTTTTCATATGCCCATTCACTTCGGTGCACACAATTTGCTACAATTCTGACTTACGCTTAAATGGACATCCACATGACTATTACTTCACTGAAACATCATACATAGCATGAGAAATTGAACTATGTAAACATAACTCAAATTGGAAAGTGAAGATACCACTATTTCCTCTAGAAAGAATGCTTGCTCTTGGTGAAACCATGTAAAAAAATAAGTTGTAGCATCCTGTCTGATATTGGACCAACATATCAGACAGGATGCCACACATTTTGAAACTAGGATGACAATTGTATTCGTTTTATCCGTATAACCTGTGAATAAAAAATTTAACGTTTATTTTTATATCTTAAATTTCATTATCTTTTAATCGTGCCTATGCTTATATTTTTTTAATAAATTAAAAATTAACTTAATAAATATAATAATAAAAATATCTTTTTTTGCATGAAAATTAGTTCACTACTTGATAAAATATATATAAAAAATGTATTTTATTCTTATAATAATACTTAAACATGTTAATCGTGTCAGTTTCGCATTATTCGTATTTGACATTATTCAAACCCATTTAATATTTGCGTTAACGGGTTGTGTCATATGTGGGTTCGTATCGAGAAATGATCAATCTTAACCTACTAATTTCATGTCGATTTCAAGTCATGTTTTCATGGTTGTGTTAAATTTACCATTGTTATTTGAAACACAGCCATATTTCTTATTGCAGCAAATTCTTCACCGGCTTCCTTCTCCATGTTAAAAGTTCTTGCCATGGTTTCATATGCCCGATACACATTTGAAAGCCTTTCCGTCTCTTATTACTTGGGGTTGAGATAACAATAGGTGAAGGCTTAGCAATTTGTGGCTGGTTTGTGGTTCTCAAACACTCAAAATAAGAATAAATAAAGACATCGTGAATAGAGGATGATGATGCACAAAACTGTCTCGTGCAAGATCAACAGTCGAGTGTGTGATAAGGTGTAGTTAATGGATAATTAATAAAGTAATCAATGCAAAAAGGTAAATATCGAGTCAACACACAGATATATAGTGGTTCGATCCGGATAACTTATTCCACTCCGAGAAACGGCTACGGTGGCTGGTGAACCTTTATTGATGGAATAAAGTAAAAGAGAGGGAGAGACAAGGCTAGTTCCAGGAGTGGCTCAATAACTAGCAGAGAGAAAGTGTGTAGAGAGGTGTGGTGAGATCACTATCGACAAGTAAGGCAGTTAAGGGGATCGTAGACAGAATCAAGTGCTTAGGCTAATTCGGTGAAGCCTTGGGCAACACCTCAACATATCCAAGCGAAGCCCGAGGCGACGCTCAAGGATCCTTATGGCAATGCTAGAGGAGGCAAGCTAAGGAGCGCCAGAGGAGGGAACAAAGGTTACGCCTAGCGTGCCCTAGGCAACGCCCATGGGGATGGAGAGGCTGGCGGTGCCCATGGCACGTTTGGAGGCTACTTGGGGAAAGGAGGTGAAGAGCACGTGGGAGGTGGTGACGCTGACTAGGCGCTAGGTAGGGCGACACCAATCACAGACGACGACGAAAATGGTTGGCAGGCGACGCTCATGGCGTAGAAGGGTCTGTTGGCAACGCCTTGCAGGCGCAGGGACATAAACGACAGTGGATTGGGCGACGCCCCTAGGTAGCTAGGTGGCACTTGAGGTGTTGGGCAGCTGCTGGAGTGAGGTGGGACAAGAGCGAGCTAGGGCGGCACCCAGGAGGCTGCTGGGCGATGCCAGGAGCAATGTCAGGCTAGGCGACGCCTTGCAGGCGCTGGGCGTTGGTTGGAGTATTAGAAAACTATGAAAAAGGGCAAAACTTTGCATGGCCGTAACTTTGCGCTCGGTTATCCATTTGAGGCGAATTTTTTGTTGAATCTAGGTATTTTTTTGAGATCTATGACATGTTAATTGCCAAAGGCAATTTGGTCAAAAAAATTTCTCAAAAAATGCTCCTATCTCTCTGAATTTGAGTTTTAAGCATAAATTAGTAAAACCGACAGTGGTGGAAAGTTGCGTTCTGGCAGACAACTGTCAGGCATTCATGGGCGACAGATTGGCATTCTAGATTTTTACCAAGTAGAGATACTATGATGGCTTTTGATAGGGTAAGAGGCAAACCCGCTTTCTCCAATCCTGCTTTTTTCTTTATGTTTTCTCGATGTTGGTTTATTATATTAACCTTGTCTTTAATTACAGGCGCCCTGTTGATAGGGTGATGGTGGAGGTTTTCTACATTTTTAGGGTGGTGTCTTCCCCTCCTCCCACGAGGGTGAGGTTTGATGCCTCCAGTGTTTCTCAGTCAAGGTTCGATGGCTAGGTTGCTTCCCGAGGGGTGGGACTCGGTGTTGCCCCCACCCACTCCTTCTTAGATTGTGACTCCTGTGTGTACTAGAGCTAGCCCTTGTACCATTGTAAGAGTTGAGACTTCAATGCGGTTTCTATAGGGATTGTAGCTCCATATAGTTGTTCTGCTTCTAGTAGTGGCTCGATGTCAATGCTTTGACTTGACTTTGGAGGTCTGTGACTCCCGGGGATATCAAAGAGGTTGGATCTCGAGGTCCAAGGTATGCTTCTTTTCTCAACTTTGATTTTGTACTCGTCTCCTTTCCTTCATGTTCTGCTTTTTGAATGCTTGTAGGAGGCTGCAACTTTTCCCTGCCTTTTTCAAGGATGATCAAGCTTGGAAAGACATTCAGGCATCTGGTAATAGAGAGGCAGCCATGGGGAGTTGCTAAGAATAGTTGAGGTTGGCTC